GATAAACAATGACGGTGAAAAGCCGTCGTAGTTTGAAATCCAAATAGACAGCAGTCGATTTCACGACGGTTTGAAAACCGAATACACGACGATGAATTCCCGTCGTCTTTGGCCTTTTTTGTAGTAGTGCAAGTGATATATACTGTACTAGTGTTGTAGCTAGCATGAAATGCAAGGCATGTCTTAAATATTCGAACTCTAGTTTGCAAATCAAAATAAATTCAAGTACAATCAGATCTGCTCAGAGGCAGATAGCCTCACTCCACTCGCCCCCTGGTTCCGATGGATATTCTTGGCGCCCCTAGTCTTATCTGAAATTGTTCACTCAAACCAAAATTTGCCATGAGAAGACAAACATGAGTAAGAAGCTCTCCTCTCTTTCTAAGATGTTGAGCGTGTTCATTCCATCGACATTGGCTTGCTGCATAGCACAACATCTCTATCCACACCTTAGCTATCATTTCCCATTTCTCTTCATTTCCCCATCCTTCCTCCGTTTCAAGTGATTGCAACTGTTTTGCAAGCCTAGACCCGGTAAACAATACTGTCTTGCTTCTGTCCCCAATCACTATCTCTGGATCCACCTCTGTGTTCACCTCAAGCAACACTTGACGGGCACGGCCTTTTACATTACTACCACTTATGATACATCTTCTCTTCTCAAAAAATTGTGGCCTCAGCACAAGTATCGCGGAACCTAATTTTCCCAATTCCCTTTGGCAACATGAAGGGGCGCATCACGAGAATGTGCATCAGGTAATTCGAGACCAACTTGCTGAAACTGTGTTTTGAATCAGAAGTAGGGATCTCCGAATATTTTTCTAGGTCAGTATAGTAGCACAAATCAGTTGTTATGTGCCACAGAAGAATGCTCTGGTCGAAAGGTACTTCAACCAAGCTCCATATCAATTTGTCATCACAATTTGTCTTCTTTAGCACTTGATCACTTCTCCAACTCAAGACTTGGCTAACGTGATGTTCGCTTCGAGCAACTTTGAGTTGCTCAAAGATAAACTGTTTCATTTTGATAGGGACATCCTCAAAAGTTGAATAGCAGTACTTCTCCCAAATGTCATAGGTGCCAATGAACTTTTTGAATTCCAACAAACTTTACGGGCTTCTCTTTTAGACAAAAATCAATGAGATTGAATTGTGTCATGGTTCCGGACCACCCTTTTTCATAGCTCAATTTCAACCGGAAGTAAGAGATTGCTCGATACATAGGTGGAGCAAGCGTATGTTTATACTTGCTTAACCAATATTGTGCCCAATCTGTGAGAACTAGTGCAGCGACAGCATATAGCTCAAGGGCAATTGCTCCAACAGACAACAAGTAAGTGATAGCCACATCAATGGTTGAATAACGATGCTTATCAATGACGAGACAGAAGACGAAAAATGTGGAAATGCAGCAAACGAGGCTGATGGAGCGGAAAATGATACCTGTGAGAGAATACACCACGTTTGCCTTTGTGTACAGCACATCATACATAAAGCCAAGCTCAATCTCCAGTAGTTTGAAGACGTAATCGAATGGATGGTCGCTGATCATGTAATAGCACCATCGTTCATCATAATGATCAAGGATCAAATCTGCATAGAGACGCTTCAAGATTTTGAATAATGGATAGGCTTCATGGAGAGGTTTGGCTTCAGCAATAGTGGGACAAACTGCAGGTATATATGGAGCTTCAGGGATCATAGAGAAAGCTACAGGCTCTCCCCGACTTTGTGTGGAATAAACTTCAGTGGCAAACTCAGCATAATCACTTTGGTTAGGGGGTGGGAGCAACAGCTCCCTAAATCTCTCACTGCTTGCAGAACGCAGGACCCAACTCCCCATACTTGATAATTCCTGAAACAAAAATCGGTATTGCTAGTGAGGGAAGCTGGTACTGGCTTGCTGTCCATGACTGCAAAAAGATGTATAAAGCGGCTACAGCCTGCACAAGTAAGCCCAGGAGGTGCCTCAGCCAGAGCTCATTGTCCTCCAATGAGTAAGCAGTGATGGTGTCTGGGCCGCCAAGGTGAAGCAGAAGAAAGGGTACCCAGAAAACCATCAGGATTTGGCTGCTGTTTGAATTTGTGGAACTTTCTGGATCATTATTTTCTCCTTGAAAGCTGGATATCATGCCGAGGGCAACAGTTGCAACCCAATCTGCTGATAAGTATGCTGTCCAAGTGACAATTCTGATCCAGGGTTTTGCAATGTACTTGCGTCGATTTCCAAAGAGTATTAGCAGGATTTGTAAGCATAGGCTGCTTACAACCATTATCCTAACGTTCCATTCGCTCCATAGTTTTCCCACACTTTCTGGAATAATTTGCACCATCCTTCTTCTAATTATCATAATTATTTAATAAATTGCAAACTCAAACTGGTGGGAAGGCAACTAAACTTCAATGTATGTAGTTAAAAGAAATGAAAGCTAACCCAGTGCCTTTGGTTCCACCGGTGTCAAGATCAGTCAATCCCCTGAAGAAGAAGAAGAGACCATATCCTCTCTCTGTCTCTGCCATTCACATCACATCTCTCTCTCTCTCTCTCTCTCTACTCTATCTACTAGCACTTTTCTACTAGCACTTATGCTCAATGATTTAATCATGTCAATTATTGGGGTTGTATTAGGGGGCCCAGGAACAAGCTGTGTGGCAGCACCAGATGATGCAGCGAAACAGAACAAATGCATTTAATTTTTTATGGTTGAGAGATGGTTGGGAGAGTTGGATGAGCACGGTCCAGATTTAATCGATTTTCATCAAAATCATGGCCGAATTAATTACAATGTAACGATTTAATTTGGATCGAGTGTCACAAAAATCACAGAGGAAACCGAACCAACCTAATTTAAGACATTTTGTTTGGTTTGGTTCGCCTAGTTTGCACCTAAGCCCAATTCTTTCTCCTTTACATTTTTTTTTAAAGATTGTTTGCTCAATTACAACAAGAAAATTCACAACTTGCTACCTTTTTTTTTCTTCTCATTTTCTAGCACATGAAACCATCCTAAAACTCAACATGTCATAAAACTTCAAAGTTCAATAACTAATATAGCTAAAATTCAAATATCAATAACTTCAAAGTTCCATTAAACTTCAAATTCAACATTCATATCTAGTTAAAATTCAATGAGAAGACTACAAGCGTATAATAAAATAAAAATAAATAAATATACAAGTAAACGCTCCAATTCAGTTTAGGCCAACTTGCAAAAGCTCAAAACCAAATCAAACCAAATTATTAACGGTCCAGTTCGGTCTTGAACTTATATTTTTTTGTAAACACCAGGCCAGATAATCACATTTTGAATCAGTTAGTTCAATGGGTTCATCCGGATTGATGGCCACCCCTATTTGAGAGTATTGAAATTAATTATTGGATTTCTTTTCTGTTTCTGAGAAATATAATGAAGAATTTTACTAGATTTTTATTTTATTTTAATAAATAAAGTTGGAGAAAAATCTTTGGCCCCGTTTTGAGTTTTATTAAATGAACGTGTTATGTTCACCTAATGTTTGAGCTGGCCTGGCCAATGTAGATGATGGTACATTAATTGTTCAAAAACGGACGAAAAATAATGGGAGTTTCACTAAAACACCCAAAATGGGGGTTGAAATTATAAAAAAACCCAAGCACTATTTAAACATATAAACACACCCAAAACCCATCATTACACACACTCAAAACTCATTTATAAACACACCCAAAAAGTTGACTTTGGGGTTGATTTTGGGTGTGTTTCTATGTTTAAATAGTGCTTGGGTTTTTTTATAAATACATGTCTAGGATTGGGTTTATTTATAAATTTGTATTAATTTAATTGACTCGTATTACAAAGCTCCAAGTATAACCTAAACCTCTCTGATTTTGAGAATTAGATAGGAAAAGTCTTTGTTGTTTTGTCAACTAGGAAAAAGTCAGGAGACATGCATGCCGTAAAAGTTTGAATGGAATCGGGTTGTCTCTACATTGACGAAAATAACACTCCCAAGTGGGAGGTACGGGCTACTTTTCTCGTGTTCAATTCAACCAACTCCCGGACTGGGCTTGGACCAGTTGGTAGTTTCCCGTTCTTTTCTTTCTTTTCTTTTATTTTTCACTTCTTTTGCTTTGATCATTAAGAATTGAAATTAGGGAGTTTCACTAAAACACCCAAAATAGGGGCTGAAATTATAAAAAAAACCCAACACCCAAAACACTTTATAAACACACCCAAAACTCATTATTACACACACTCAAAACTCATTTATAAACACACTCAAAAAATATACAATTGTTGATTTTGGGTGTGTTTCTATGTTTAAATAGTGCTTGGGTTTTTTTATAAATACATGTCTAAGATTGGGTTTATTTATAAATTTGTATTGAAGGTATTAATTAAATGAGGATAATATAGTAAATTCATTTTTTTCATATTAAAAAATTAAAATTAAAAAAAAATCAAATAATAGGTCCTACTTTTATGGATACCTATGTTATCTTTTCTTAATTCTAAAAACAAAAACAAAAAAACAAAAAAAAACAATTGGCGCATGCTTGAGCATGTGTCAAGGGGCTAGTTTTCATAATCTGTCAAGCTCTTCAGCAAATAAGACTACATATACCAATTATTATCGCAACTTTTGAGTACAGTTGAATTTTCTACTTGTTTCAAATAAATGAGAATATAAAATGAGCTCAGATATGAATAAATGAAATATTGCCGCCTCAAGTTAAGATAGAAGATGTTGAGATAATAGCTAGTACTTTTAGGCCTAGTCGTACATTGCCAGTTCTTTTCTTTCACTTTTGATCCCAATTAGAGCACATGCTTAATTTGGATGTGTGAAGTGATCATAACATGGGGCAAAAAAAAAAACCCATCTACCTATACATAAAAATAAAAAAATAAAAAAAAAGAGATATTATTCAAAAACTCATTTTAGCATGACATATTATACAAAAACTCATATAGAACCTATTTGGAGTGAAAAATCCAAAATTAGTCACTTGTTATTTTCTAATTGGTTATTAGTGAAAACCTACAAAAACACGCACATGATCTGGATATGATCATCTTACATGTTCAATGAGGGGAGTTTTGGTGAACCCAGGTGCAACACTATTAGTCCTTATGTTATCTTTTGCCCACTCACATGCCAAGTTTTTGGCTAATTGATTCATTGCTCCTGAAAAACAAAACAGAAAACTTCAACATTTAAGGTCAATTCTTCAATTGCAGAACACAAAGTTTCTTGGTTTTTTTCTAAGTACTAAACCCTATATTATATATATATAAATATGTGTGTGTGTGTGTAAGGAAATCAAGGCACCTTTGGTGGCAGAATATGCAGATCCAACTTCCACCGAAACCACACCAGCAACAGAAGACAGAAAAACAATGTTGCCGGCTCCTGAAGCTTTGAGCAGAGGATGTGCAAGTTGGCAGAAGTGATAAGCAGATTCAAGATTGGTACTCATAAGAAATGTATAATCTTCAGCTGTGAACTCCATCGTTGGTTTTACTATGCTTGTTGTTCCCACATTGTTTATCTACACCCATTCCATTCATTAAATTTGCATGCCTTAATTAACTCAAGGTTCAGCAAATATACAGTGAAGTGACTCTACAAAAGAAATTGCGTCCATTTTGTTTTTGGTTTTCGGCGTTTACTTTTTTATTATTATAAAAGAACAAGAAAGCAAAAAGTGATCCTTGGTACTTAGAACTTACGGTCTTGTACTTACAAGGATGTTAAGTTTTCCATCAAACAATGACGAGACTTTGTTTATAAGCTCCTCTCTTTGGGTTCTTGACACCACATCACACACTGAACCAGTGACTTGAAAACCCTTCTTCTCCCATTGGCTCAAGCAGTCATTGAGATCAACTTCATTCCGAGCACAAGTATGAATAGTCGCACCTAGCCCTGCCAATTCTTCCACTATAGCGTGCCTAATTGCATAAACAATTTAACATAAAGTATTAAAAACTAATTGGTACCTGATAATTTATTTTTATTTATTAAAAATAAAAAAAAATAAAAAGGAAGAAGATAAACGGGAGAATTTGGAGAAACAAAGAAAATTTTGCATGCATATGAGGAAGAAGAAGCTAACTAAACTAACCCAATCCCTTTGGTTCCTCCAGTAACAAGGGCAGTCAATCCCTCAAGAGACCATCTTCTCTCTCTGTCTCTGCTACTCATATCTGATTCTGGATCTCTCTCTCTCTCTCTCTCTCTCTCTCTCTCTCTCATATCTTTTAACGGGTTTTTATGGTCATCAGTATTGGGTGGCGGACAAGCGGTGAGGTGTACGTGTCAGTTGATGGTGCAGCAACTTGTTTATTTTGAGTGCTGCTTTTGCATTGCTAATTGACAGAAATAAGACATTTCAAAAGACAATTGGGACCATAATTAAGACATTTCAAAAGACAATTGGGAACTTTATTCCATTGCTGTCATGTCATCTTATTTTCACACATAATTAAAGCACAAGCACAAGCACTCGGGTATTAGATCATTCAGATAGATCAATGGTCTTTATTAATTTGCCCTAAAAAAAGAATAGAAGAACAAAGAAAAAAGAACTCAAGCGTGGCTCTCCTATTAGCAAACAAATAATACAACTATTTCCAAGTCATATATATGCTCTTTGGAAGAGGAAGCCATGAATGCTAATTACTAATTAGTGATAAAACACCACAGCACAGTGTTGGTGTAAGTGGCTCGATATAACTATAGGCTTAAAATTCTGGATATAATGCCAGCACTCAAATCTTCAGCTCATTGATGTCTCAGACTCTCAAAGGACTGGACTGGTAATAGGAGCGAGAGAGAGAGAGAGAGAGAGAGAGTAATTGAAATCAGGTGTGCTGCACCCTCCAACCCAGCACAACATTAAATTTGGAGATTGAAAGCCTGCAACTACCACATTAAAGAGAGAGTAATTGAAATCAGGTGTGCTGCACCCTCCAACCCAGCACAACATTAAATTGGAGATTGAAAGCCTGCAACTACCACATTAAAGATAAAAAAAAGCTACAATTCATGAAGAAAGGAAAGGCAAGAAGAAAAGTAGTTGTGGTTAGGCAGTGAAAAATGGGAAACATGAAGGGCTCGTTTGTTACACAGTGTCTTGGCATGGACTATGCTTAGAGATTATCTTGGCTTGACTTGACTTAGTCTAAGTTGGATAACACTTATCCTGCATTTGGTATATGCTTGGACTAAGACTATATATATATATATTTTCAAAACTATCTATATATATGCATATATGTATAAATACATATATTATGTATGTGTATATATGTATTTTATAATATATATAATATATATGTATAACATACATATAATATATATATATGACATATGTGTATGTACATGTATATATATATTATAATAATATTATATATGTATATATATATATGTTTGTGTGTTTGTGTGTGTGTGTGGGTGTGTATATATGTATATTATAATATAATATATACACATATATTATACATGGGGGCGGATCCGTGGCACCATATTTTTGACACAAGTTTTGACACAATTTTTGGGCCATTAGATTACTCCACTTTTAATGGTTGAGATTAAATATGACATGGCAAAATAATATTTTTCTCTTTAATTAATATTTATACATTGGGATTAAAATCCTGATACCATATTAATTAAGAATCCATTCTCTCTCTTCTCATTAATTATCTTTAATTAATTAATTCTAGTAATATGTGTTATTAGTATTACAATATAATATATGCATTTTATACATTGGTGAGCATGAGACTAGTTAATTCTTCCTTTCTACCAAGGTCTTAAATATCGATAGTTTCGGAAATATCGGTGGTTCAAAAACACAGAAATATATATGGAAATATCGGGAAAATATAGATATCGATAAAAATTGGATAAAAACCACGGAAATTATGATAAATACATGAAAATTTTTAATGAAACTTTAGAAGAAGTTTATTTAGTCAATCATCTATTATTTTGACACAAAAAATTGGAAGGAAATGCATTGCATAGTGGGTTTATGTGATTTAAGTTGATTATATTGCGACATGATAAACTCTATGACTTAGAAAATTTGAAGTAATTAACGAAAGAGAATTAAACACCCTTTAGTAATTTATTTATCATTTTTTTAGTACAATATTTTACACTTTATAAATTGCATGATAAGATACATGAGTAACCTTATTTCACGTTATTCACTGGACATGGTACACGTTATTATATCTATTAATTCATCAAAAATTGAAAAATAATTAAAGATGTAAACCAACTTGATTTGTCATGAAAATTAGGCACTTTACCATGTTTAAAAAATAATAGTAAAGATTGAAAATTAACTAAGAACATAAATAAATTTATCCAATGAAGAATTAAATAGGAAATAAAGAAAATGATTATAGAAATTTAAGTAACTAAGCAACAATTTATTTCACGTTATTCATTAGACATGGTACACGTTCTTACATTTATTATTTATCAAAAATTGAAAAATAATTAATGATGTAAACTAATTTGATTTTTCATGAAAATTAGGCACTTTACCATGTTTAAAAAATAATAGTAAAGATTGAAAATTAACTAAGAACATAAATAAATT